ACAAGTGTCCATATGCTCTGTTCATTAGCAAGGTGTTGGCTCATTATGAAGTGCCCCTGGAAAGTGAAGCAATGGAAGTAACTAGGGAGGCTCCTAATGTAAAGGATCATGCTCTGAAGATGATGAAACTGACCAAACATGAAGGAAGATGGAAAGTAAAGGATGAAGTGGTGGAAGCTGAAGCAGAGGCTGAACCTGAACTTGAAGAGAAACCACTATCAACATTTGAACCGACAATGTTAGCTAAGCTGGGTGACATTAGGGAATCTCAGAGGCGTGACTATAGTGAGCTCAAAGCTTTTTTTGAGCCTATCATTGAATGCCTGGACGCAATGAACATTCCATACCATGATGATATTCCACATGATTAGGCACTGCATAGTTTATGTTGCATTTTGTTATGTTTTCTATCATTTTATTTTGAGAACTTTCTAATGGGTTGTAATATTTTTAATGTTACTTTGAACAATCTTTGCCCTAATTATGTTTTATATATATCAATGTAGTTCTGTTTGAATTTATGGATATGGTTCTGTTATATTGCATTATTATTTCTCTCCGTTAATTTTGGTTTGGTTAAGCCAAATAGGGGGAGAAAAGAATGATATGAATGAATGATCAATGTATAAGATTTTGAATATGAATGAATGATCAATGTATTACTCAATGTATTACTTAACTTGTTTTTGGAAGATTTTTTTTGTATAAAGCATTGTAGGTGGATCATCAAGAAAACACAAAACATCATTTTTATGTCATAAGAGATTTCGCTCATCAAAACCAAAAAAGGGGGTATTGTTGGAGATGATGAAGATCATTGAGATGACAAGAAGACTCCACAAGAAGTTTCAGTTTTGATGATATTGTATAAATGATGTTTGAGCCTATGTAAAGGATATTGTATTGATTGTAATAGACATAGGCTTGCGTGTGTGTTTCTTTATGTTTGATGATGTATGCTTAATTCAAGAACCTGTCAAGCTTTTAAAGAATCCAAGAATTTGTTTTTTTTTTCTATTTCCATGAGTAAACATAGAGTAATAGATTATCTTGAAAAGGGTACTTTACTACCAAGTGTTTAAACATAGAAATATGACTTGATTCAAATAATAGTTTTCAAGGTAACTTTGTTAATCAAATTACCATTCAGGGTAATAGCTTACCAAAATTGTTACTGGAAAAGGATATTCAAATGTCCTTTATATTAATAGATTACCACGTTTGTTACTGGGAAAATGATTTTCAAGTACTCTTTGAGGTAACAGATTACCAAAGTTGGTAATAGATTAAAATACAGTCTCTTACTTGGAATCAGGCTGGAAAAAAAAAGTTTTCATCATGTTAATCGATTACCAAAATAGATAATCGATTACCATAGAGTGAAATGCAATTCTGGGACTTTTCAAGCTTGGATAATCAATTACCCTGGACAATTTTCATGTTTCTGGTTCAATTAAAGAGCTGGTAACAGAATGCCTTCATATATAGGTAGTAGATTACTTCTGTTATTACTATTTAGAATCACGTCTTGCACTTTATAAAATCAAACTTTTTGAAATTTAAAAAGAGATCCAAGAGAACTTTTAGAAAAGAAATATTTTCAGAAAAAAAAAAAAAAAAAAAAGATTAAGATGTTACCCAAGAAACTTTCTGAAATTTCAAGGAGTGCAAAGATAGGACATGAATTCTTGAAAGAAGAAATTCAAGAACTGTACTTAAGAGTGAAAGGTCAATATCTTCACAGAATTAGGTGATATTACTCTGATCTTAAAACTTGTATTTTAATTTTGACTAGTGTATCTCTTGAGATAGGGTATCTCACCAAGAGATGGTAAAATCTTGAGAAGGGTTTCTCAAGTAATTTCTGTGGGATATAGAAATTTTGATTGTTTTCAATCTTGTGGTGTCAAGATTGATATGTGTTTGATATTCTTGTAATATTGTGTGTGTGTGTAAGGTGTTTGTAAACAATATTATAGTGAGTGATCTTTGATTTAGCAAGGTGCTAAATCAAGGAAAACATGATGTAGGCCAACTGGATGGCTGAACCAGTATAAATTTCTGTGTTCTTTATCTTTTTACCCTTATCTTTAAGAATCTTTTTAATATCTTGGTTAAAGATTTCAAAATATTTGTGATATATGAAATTTCAATTACAGTACCAACTCTGATTTTTATTCTTGTAATTGAATTTGATTATAAAAAAAAAGGTAATATAAAATCAACCTTGATTACAAGTGATTGATTTGTTGGATGTACTTTGATATTTTGTTACGTCAATAATAAACCTTGTAATATACTGTTATTTGTTATTCATATTGCATAAAGGTTGTATTTTAGATTTCTTGATAGGTTGTTTTTTCAAGAATCGCGAAAAGAGAGTTATCTTAGGATAGAATCTATTCAACCCCCCTTCTAAATTCTAGTACATTGGGACCAACACTTGCTAGTTTTATCCTTTATCCCTAATTTCTACTTAGAACGTATCCTAGCAGGAACTCTTTCTTTTATCCTAACTTTTGCCTAGGGCACCCTTTACGGGTTTTCTTCCTAGTGGGTTTTTGCAAGCAATTTTTTTAAGCATAATACCCCTTTATTGTGTTAGAACTCTTAGTCATAGACATTTGTAAGGATCAACACTTATCTAGAGGACGACTCATTTTACTACATGTAGATTTTCATATTTGGCTATCTATTTCCTTATCTTGTCTTTTCGAACAGTCAAGAACTTCTAGAGCACGGGATTACCTTCTAGAAAACTTCAAGGATGAATTTCTAGTTTTTGATAAGTCCATTGATAGAATATGGCATCCAATTCTTCTTCTTTGACTTCCATGAATACTTTGAAGGTAGGGGTTTCTATTTCGATGGGTAACATTGTCCCATCCCATATACTAAGGAGAAAGGCGTTGCCTTGTTAATGTATGAATAACAACCTATCACCCATGTAGAGCCTCTCTTGTGACAATTATTTTCTTGGATGATCTTCTTGTTTTTCATTGCCTGCCTCAATCGTCTCATTCATTTTGGATCTATGGTGAGAGAAGTCATTATTTTTTTCCTTTTTTCTTTCATAATGAGGCTAGATCATTCGAACTTCTCCATTTAACAATTTTTGCATGTCTAAAAAATTTCTCTTCATTCAGACTCAATTACTACATCCTAGATGTTCAGAATTTGATCAATTTTGTTATCCTCAATCATGTTTGTTTGTTCATTTTTTTTGTAATTATATTTAGAATTGAATGCAAGGGAGAGGAAGAAAAAGAACAAACAAGGAGTTAAAGAAATGATGTGTATCATTGATGAATGTAAAATTTAGCCCTTATTTTGTTGTTCTCCCTTGTCACTTTTGTTGATCGAACGTGGTTGTTGTTGCTCCAACGGGTTGGCTGGGGATTTTAGGTTCCTTGTACCATCTTGAGGATTCGCCTTGATTGTGTGTAGGCCCGCTATTAGGAACACTTTGTGATGGTTGCCATGAACGGTTGTCACTTCTAAGCTCAATGTTTTTCTCTTTTAGAATAGACAACTCATGAGCATCCTTCTCTCGAAGTCTTCTTAGTGCCAACATCTCTACTTTTAGTGTTCTATTGTCGACGATGGATCAACAGGCTGGGAGAGGTCTTCATATGATTCTTCCATCCCTTCTCTTTCGATTTGATTTCTATATTGTCTGGGTTCTCAAGGCATCCCGAGGTTATGGACGATTGTGTTCTCTTGTTGACTTCTAGTAGCTACCATCTCAACTTAGGGTCAAAAAACATTTTTGGTTTCGGCCCCACCGTGGACGCCAAAATAATCCTGTGAGAAACACTCCTACTGTTCTTCCTGACAACTGTCTTCAAGGTTCCAAGTGATGACCGAGTCCTTGTTCCAAGTGGTGGGGAGGGTACCTGCAAAGGCACTTTGACGCTCAAATGAGTATTTGGTATAGAGTAATAGAGGCAATTGTATTAAATGATCATACCTATCCCATCAGTCCCATCAATGCTATATTTATAGTGACGTTTTTGGGGCCTGATAGGCTTTTTGAGTTATTGGGCTAGTATAAAGGGTTTTATTTCTTAATTATAGCTGACATGGACTGTTCAACGTAGTTAGTGTTTGCCTTATTATCCAATGGTCGTTTATTATGGCCGAGTACCTGTTTGGTTTACTCATTGGCTGAGGGGGGTACTCAGCCTTCCTAGCTCCTAAGCATCCGTATTCATCCTTGTTGCTAAGAGTGAAGCTAGAGGGGTGTTCAAGAGGTAATTCTGGGTCGGTGTGTTTTTTGTCTATTTGGTCTCCCTTCTAGCCGAAGGGGTTGTTCGGTTGCTTTGGAAGCCGAGAGGGATGCTCGGTCACGATGAGAGTCGAAGGGAGGTGTTCAGTCATGAAGGGGATCGAAGGGTATATGTTCGGGCTCACTAGTACAAAAATTATTTATTATAAATTTAAAATATAATTTATTTATTTTTTATTTTTATATTAGTGTTCTAAGACTTCGTCTTAAACTAATTTAGTTTGATATCACGAGATAAATAAATTATTTTTATCAAGGATCGAATTTGGACACTATCCGAATAATTTGACTTTAGATTTAATATATTACTTACTTATATTTAACTCATTTGTTAAATATAATTTATATATTAAAATTATTTATTAATTATGACTGATAGAAACGTGTTGCATGCCACTGTTGTGTGTACCTACCGCTAATTAATTACATATTGACCTAGTTTTTTAATTTTAATTTATTTATCTCGGAACTTATTGACCTAGTCTTGCGAAGTATATTTCTCGACGACACTCATAAGTCATAATAACATGGTCCATGCGTTTTTTTTTTTCTTTTTTCATTTTACTAATATGGTAGAAACATTACATGTAACTTGCCATTAGAGTTGGTGAGGCAAACATCGATCAAAGCAAATATTCACTTTTATTTTATCTTTAGTTATTACCGTGTAGCCTCCAAAATAAACAAAAATGTGATCCATTATTGCATATAAATAGTTGTGGATGGCATGAATTTCCCAAGCACCAAATTAAGCTAAGCATTAGCAACACCTAAAACTCTGAGTTATATCCACTCAAATAAGCAACATGACACCAACAATCCCCTCAGATCTCACTGAATTCGTGATGCTTCAAGGGAATGGAGTAAAGGGTCTCTCTGAAATGGGTCTAAAGAGTCTCCCAAGTCAATATATCCAACCTTTGGAAGAGAGGATGATCAATAATGTTGTGCCTCATCAAGAGTCCATTCCCATCATTGACATGTCCAATTGGAATGACCCAAAAGTGGAAGATGCAATTTGTGATGCAGCTGAGAAGTGGGGTTTCTTCCAAATCATCAACCATGGGGTGCCCCTTCAAGTGTTGGACAATGTTAAGGATGCTACTTATAGGTTTTATGGACTTCCACCTGAGGAGAAGGTTAGGTACACAAAAGATAACTCTCCATCCAAGCATGTGAGGTATGGGTCTAGCTTTAGCCCTCAAGCAGAGAAAGCCCTAGAGTGGAAAGATTATCTAAGCCTCTTCTATGTTTCTGATGATGAGGCTGCAGCAATGTGGCCCCCTGCATGCAGGTAAAATGTCATAGACTCATAGTACAACTCTTTTTTTTTTTTAAATATTAAATTAGTCGATTTACTCTTATATATTAATATTATAAAATTAGAATAAGATTTTAAATCACACCGTCAAAAGTGTTCACTTTTAGTCTCAAACAGTGTATCGCACATAATTGACTCAAAGTAGAATACACTTGTGGAGAACAAAATAAATATATATAAATAAAATTAGAATTAATACCCAAATTAACTTAACTCCTCCCACCCTCTCAATTAGACATTTTTAGTATTTTTTTCTTCTCTTTTATCTTCATGGAAGTGAATTTCACACACCATCCTACGTAACTAAAAGAAAAAAAAAATATTTCAATTTTTAAATTAAATTACTTTTACCTTTTTCTATATGCTTGATATTTTTAATTGTCTATCTCTTTCAATATATTTATAAATTATTAGATTTTTACTATTTACGGTAAGAAATTTGAAAAATAATCAATGTGATTGGACAGCTGAAATTTGTAATTCTTTTTTGTTTTTTAAATTAAGTTATTTTTATAAATCTGAAAATTTAAAATTTATAGTTCTTTCTCTATAACTTTCAATTAAAACAATTTATCCCCAAATTACAGGAAAATTTTCAACAGTGTTTTCCCACTTAGTTTTTTTTTCCCAATAGATTCATCTCGCTTTTCATAATTAACTATTGAAAGTTGATTTGTTTTTACTGTTTCTACATGAAATTAATTATGTTAAAATTATTTTTCATCAAATTTATCTGAAAAAAAACTGGTTTTGAATAATTAATTATACATATAATTAACTATTGAAATAATGTAAAGTTTCCTTCTTTTATATTTGTTCAACCCTTTTGTTCTTGTTCAATAAAATTAATTTGCTTGATTAAGAAACAAAGGTTGATCATGAATGAAAAGCTTCTTGGTCATTTACTTTTTTCTTATTACAAAACTATAGTTTACTGTACTTCTCATTTTGTGAGTAAAAAACGAATTAAACTTATCATTTTATTTTAATTTCGTAGTATATTATCATTTCAGTCTAGTCTATAGCATAGCCTTCCTATGAGGTAGATATGGTAAATATCACTCTTTTCCTTTCAATATATTATTTTATAACAAAAAAATTGATTTACTAAACTGTCAAACAGTGAGGTGTGTGAGATCGATCCTAATCAGAATTGAATGCACATGTTAAATATTTATTATGTATAAATAAATTTTAAAATAAATTAAATATATAAATAAATATTATGTTTGAATATAAATTATATTTAAAATTTGATTAAGTAGATATATATATATATTATAGATTTATGATAAATAATTTATATTATAGTACATGATTATCTTTATTTATTGATAGTTAAAAATATTAAAAATTTTAATTTATAAATAAATATAATAAATTAAAATTGAATTAGATATGAAGTTGAAAGAATTTTTAGAAGTGTTCTTGTTGAATAAAAAATCCTAAAAATACTCTCATACAAGATAATCTTTCATGTTTTATATATAAAAATTGAAAGAAAAAAAAAAGTTAATCTACTTAAAAAGTCAACTAGTGACGAAAGATAAGGATGTTTAAATTCATAGGGATACCTATACTTCTTAAGTTCAAAGCTTATATGTAATTATTCATAATAAAAATATTTTATTTTAATATAACATATAATTTAAGAAAAATTTCAAAAAAAATGAATTAACATATAATACTGACAAGATTAATTCAGTACACCTCCTTTTCCTAAAAAGCAGAATGCATTTTCAGTACGCATCAAATTAAGTTGTATTCTTGATTAAAATGTCATATGTTGAAAATAATTAAAATGAAGGTTTAGCAACTAAAGCAACAAATAGGTAAACAATTATTAATGTGGTCTAACTCAATTGGTTGAGTAGGATGTGTGAATTTTTTAAATTTCCTTAATACTTGTGTTTGATTTCCATATATTAAAAAAAAAAAAAAAAAAAAACAACGAACAATTTATTGGATGACACTTTATTTGTAGGGATGAAGCACTAGAATACATGAAGAGATCCGAAACCGTGATCAAACGACTTTTAAATGTGTTGATGAAGAGGCTAAATGTGAGCAAAATTGATGAGACAAATGAATCACTATTATTGGGTTCAAAGAGGATCAACCTAAACTATTACCCTATTTGCCCTAACCATGACCTAACCGTAGCAATAGGTCGACATTCTGATGTCTCAACCCTAACCGTTCTCCTTCAAGATGAAACTGGTGGCTTGTATGTTCGAGCACCAGATCACCATAATTGGATTCACGTGCCACCGATCTATGGTGCCCTAGTTATCAACATAGGTGATGCACTTCAAATAATGAGCAATGGACGATACAAGAGTATTGAGCATCGTGTGACAGCCAATGGAAGCAAGACTAGGGTTTCGGTGCCTATTTTTGTGAACCCTAGACCCTCAAATGTGATTGGCCCTTTGCCTCAAGTGCTTGCTAGTGGGGAGAAGGCAATATATAAGAATGTGCTGTATTTGGAATATGTGAAACATTTCTTTAGCAAACCTCATGATGGGAAGATGACCATTGAATATGCCAAGATATGTTGAGTTTAGTTCCTTTAGGAAGTACTATATACCTATGCGGATATTTGAAGTTATTTAATTATGATATGATGCAAAGTATATATATTTAAGTGTCTCTCTATATATATCTTAGAGTTAATCACTTATATACTGTGTAAAGTTTTTTTACACTAGCAACCAATTATATCTTTTAATTGTGTCATGCACTGTTAAAAATAAATGTGTTTATAATGACATAGTACAATTAAAAAATATAATTGGTTGTCAGTATAAAAAAACTTTACACTTGAAATGTATATGTGATTATCTCTATATCTTATATGTTGAATATGATTTAGATGTATGTGTGTTCATAATAAAGAGGGGCTTTGAAGGGTTAGTTTTGTATTGTAATAATGAATATGTCCCTTTAAAAGTCGAGGCTCTTTGTGGTTATAAATCAAGTTCCAAATTTCATTATTGCTTTTTGATCGTTTAGATTTACTTTACAATAACTATACATTTGTTTAAGCATTGATTCACGTACTAAAATAAAAACATTGTCTTATACACTACTAGAATTTATCTTATTACATGCGATTTTTTTTGCAGATTTTTAAGAAAAATTTGCAGGAAATGTTGTTCTTACAAATTTTTCTGCTAAATTTTATCTACAGGTAATACTTTCATGGATAGTATAATTTTGCGAATTTTAAAATTCGCAAGAAATTTTCCTGCGAAATTTCTTGCGAAAAAATTCGTAAAAAAGTTTCCTGCAAAAAAAAAATTGCAAGAAAGTTTCCTGCAAAAAAAAATCCGTAAGAAAGTTTCCTACGAATTTTTTCGCAAAAAATTCTGCAGGAATATTTTTTACGAAAAAAAAATAAAGAAATTATTATAAATTATTATCATCCGAAGCATTTGTTTCCATGCCTCCAACATGTGATACATAATCTTTTAAATTCTAAGATTGTAAATTATACGCCTAACACTTAACCATACAAATCAACTTGTAAGGTAAGTGTTGTCCCAACTTATATACTCTTTAATTATTTTATTTTCAATCGATGTGGGACTTGAAGTTTTTTTAAAATATTAAACTTATAAATTTAAATATTTTTTTTATTTTTCCTGCGGATTAAAATTTGCAGCAGGAAAAGTTACTTGCAAATTTTTTTTACCATTATTAAAGATTACTTGCAAATTTATTTTTGTAAAAAAATCTGCAAGAAACAAAATAAAATTCTTACAATATTTTATGCAAATTTTTACCATGAAAAAAAAAATTTCTATGATCATTAAAATTGTAACAAAATTTGTAAGAAATATCTATAAATTATTTTTCACAAATAAATTCGCAAAAAAATTTTGTGAATATTTTTTTGTAGGAAAATTCGCAAAAAGTTTCTGCAAATATTTTTTTGCAGGAAAATGACACTTTTCTAGTAATATATAGTTAAATACACACATCTTATAATGAAATAATATTTATTATTAAAAATTATTTTAATTTATATTTATATTTTTATAATTGTTAAAAAATAAAGGTATAAATTATAATAACATATAATATATGTTGTTGAATTTTATTTAAAAATTAACACTAAAATTACATTTCAGTATATTTTAAATATATTTATATCTAAATATATTGTATCTATAATTATTTTTTTTACGTCATTATATAATTTTTTTTATAATAATAATTGGATTGACTGTTGGACTGATTGTGTCGGATTCAAGCAAAAGTAAAATAAAAATTCATAAAGTGTAATTTTGAATCAGCACCTTACACCTCTAGTTGTACTCATGATGGACGTTGCAGATTGCATGTATTATAAAATCAACGCTTACACTTGAAATCAAAGCTTTGGGCCGTGAATTGAATGTGTTCACTAATTTGAGCCTCGCTAATCATTTCTGTTTGTTTTCTTATCTGCTCAAACTCATAACCTGTTTGAATTTGCCCGAGTCTTTTTAAATATATTTAATTTTTTTCTTTGATTTATGCTCACCTAGTTATACACATGGTTGTATATCTACAAGTGATATTTTTTCTTTTATAAGAAATTATACAAAATACTAGTCAAATATAACTACAAACATTTTTACTGTATTTTCAACAATGGAAATTAACTGTAATCAAAAAGTTTTAAACAATATTTTTTCTTTACATATAAAAGGTAGTAATTTTTTCCCTCGTAATTAATATGATCACTATTGTATAGAAGGAACATTTAACATCAATTAAAATTAGTTCAAAAGTTGATGTTGATCCCAAAAATATAAATTGGAAACACTTCTATATTGATTATAATATAACCAATGTAGAAAGATGTATTTACTGTTAGAAAATAAAATAAATAGAGCACAAGAAAAATAAGATATTCAAATTTATCAATAAAACCAATATCAACAACACAATGAATATTATAAAATTAAAACAAGATAATTAGTAGTAATTAATTAAACACAAATAGCAAATTAAAATATTAAATAATAGGTTTAGAATAGTCTGGGTTGAAGCACGCAGAGCGCTATCCTTAGAGAGAAAACGTTCCCACTGCACTGATAATTTTGACTCTTATAGTGCGCTCCTCTTCCAAGATACGTCAATCCGTTAGACCGTTCGAGTGCAGTGAAAAATCCCCGAACCAAAGAACACCACTCCAAAAAATATTTTTTTAGTAATAGAAGTAATTTTGAGGAAGATATAAAATGAACTTGTTGTGTATATTTCTATCTTTTTATTTTCATGTACCAAGGTCTGTATATATAAGCACAATATATTAGAGATAAAGGATGTGCACCCCTCTTTTACATGTTTTTCAGTAACAACAAAAAGTGTATGTTGTATGGATGTGCACCATTCTTTTGCAAGCTTTTCGGTAACAGCAAAATTGTACGTTGTGCACTTTGCTAACCAATTAGAAATTGGAGGCTTGGTCAAAGTAAAGAAAGCCATAATAGTTTTTGGCTTTTTGCAACTTACAAATATTAAATAAAAGCAAAGATTAATTAAATTTTAAATTATAAGATAATTTCTCAACAATCCCCTACTAATTTAAAATTTAAATATGGAAAAAGATGATTTATATATATATATATATATATATATATATATATATAAAAAAATGATATATATATATATAAACTTAAACATTTTAATGGAGCATAATATATTATATTTTTAGTACAAGGAACCTTTCGGGTTTGAGCCTTATACCTAGTGCATATAAACTTCCATCTGAGAGAATATGGAGACATGATTGTCTTGAGCCATATTCCTTTGGCCAAATTTTAGAACATCACACATATAATAAAGGTGTTCATTTGAGTTCTAATTGAGGTTAGCGAAAATACACACAGAAGGGGGGGGGGGTTGAATGTGTGTTCATGTTCGAAGGAAGATTTTTTTTTTCTAAAGTCGATTCGCAAGAATAATTTTTAAGCAGGGTGTTTCAATCTTGGTTAAAAAAAATTAAGCTTGTTTAGCAAAACTGATCTTCTACTTTAAGAAGCAGGTAAAGTAAATTGGTTTTCCGTCTAAAAGGTTTATCGTCCAATAAAAATTGTTTCAGAAGGTCAAGTGTGTTTCCATCTAATGATTTGTTGAAAAACAAACTAGAAGAGAGACAGAGTAAGTAATGTTGAAAAATGAAAAGAATACACAAATGGTTATCCTAGTTCACTCAATTTGAGCTACATCCAATCTCCTTCTACCGAAGGGTTCCACTAATCACAAAGGATTACAAGTATTCTCTACCATTTTTGGCTCGTCAGCCTCTCTTGTCGACGCTAGTATTCTTAAAACCACTTTTGATTCTCCAAGTATTCTTTACCACTTCTGGCCCGCTAGCTTCACTTACTAGCGCTAGTATTTTTAAACCACTTATGGTTCACAAGTATTTTTTCTACCAGCCTCTTCAGGCTTTACAACAATCGAGGGTGTTGAGTGTGTTTGCAACTCTCACAGAGAGGATAGGGTAGTTTCTACCCTAACTAAGGTGCGTAACCTTAGTTTTACAAAGATAAGTGTCTAAGTGTTTGTTTATTCTTGTAGAGAGGATGGACTATTAGCAACACTTACTAAGATAAGCTATCTTAGTTCTTACACAGATAAGTGTCTAAGTGTTTGCAGGTTTTGTCTACTTCTCTTTTCTGTATCTTCTTTTTCTTTTCCTTGATACTTATAGCCGTTTGATAAATTTGTCTGTTGTTTGAATTCAAATTTTTCCGTTGCAGCTTAGCTTCGTGTTGTTGCAGATTAAGCCTTTGTTCATGTTCATGTAAATCTTCTCATTTAATGTATTTGATCTTGCATTAAATGTTTTCTTGTATTCGTGGAGTCTCTCTGTGTAGTTGATTACTTCGATATTTGACTTCAATCATGATCTAGGTATATTTGTACTTTCCTTATCAGTTTAGCTGCTGCGGTGCTGTCTTTTTTTGAAAAGTAGGTGTCCTTTCTCTAACGTACTCAGCTTTGACTTGTGAATCCGTGCTTGCCTTTTGTGTTTCTTGTATGATTTCTTCCAATGTGATTAGTGGACTTTAGACGTGCTTCAGTATTTTTGACATCGTCTGACTACAAGATACTACGTCTGATCTTGACTAACCTTTTCGTCTGGGTATAGGAGTATTAACTTCGCCTTCTAGTTTATTTGGTTCTTTTCTGATGGTCACTTCATGTTGATTTCTGGCCAAGTTGCGTCTGATGCCTCAGGCTTCTACTGATAGACTTTGTATTTTGATTTGTGCCTGAATCAACCTTGGTATTGATGCTAGCCTTTCTATCGTTTGATGTTTTGTCTAGCCAAATTATGCTTGATCATATTTCATTGCTTGAATTTTTTTGTTATCCGACTAAAACACTAATGCACATGTTAGTAATAACAATATGTATTATATTTGTCATATTCAAAACCTTGGTGGGAATTGCGAATGCGCTTCGTCTGACTTAACAATCTCCCCCTTTTTGATGATGACAAATATAATCTATCAAGTTCATACATGTTTATCAAGCATTTATGTATTAGACACAGAGCATAGATCAAGCAGATAGCAGATATTAGATATATAGTGTAAGGGATATATTCGTTTTCTTAAGGTCCTAAGGTTCCTCCCCCTTAGACTATGCTTTCCCCCTTACTTAGTGATCGGTTTAGTTTGATAGATTTTTTGTTCTTTTCTCCCGCTTTGTGATCATCAAAAAGAAATAGAGGGTCAGCTGATATACTATTAATCATCTATCAATTCCATTCTTAGTCTATCTCTCAGCCAGACATATCTATCTTCTTGAAGGGGTTTGGTGAAGATATCAGCTAGTTGTTCCTCAGTCTTAACATAAACCAGTTCAAATGTTCCTTTTTGCACATGATCTCTAATGAAATGATGTTTAATCTTTATATGCTTAGTCCTAGAATGCAAAAGAGAAATTTTAGAAATATTAATAGCAGTAGTGTTATCGTAGAGTACAGG